CACATGTAAATACAAATACTGTATTTGTTCCTGTTTTGTTTTTTTACTTCAAAATAAGATATGTGCAGTGTGCATAGGTATTTGTTCATAGTTTTTTTTTTAAACTATAGTCCGGCCCTCCAACGGTCTGAGGGACAGTGAACTGGCCCCCTGTTTAAAAAGTTTGAGGACCCCTGAATTAGAGAATGAAAAAAAAAGAACTGCAGAGAATGAAGAAATAAAAACATGGGTAGAGACAAAATGGAGGCAAAGCTAAAAATGAATATAGGAATGATCTTCACACTTACTACAGCTGGGCCATGCATTTGTCTCTAAGCTGACAGTTTCATTGGTCCCACAATTCATGATATCTATGGATAAAAAACAAACCCGTTACTCTGGAGAAGAAAAACTATTCCCGGAACTGAGATCAGATTGGACTGTCTCCCAGGGACACTCAGAGAGAGAACATTGTGTTATATGAGCAGCAGTGTCCTTGACAGCATCCCTGACAGGGTGACCAGTTCACAAGGATGCCTCTTAGAGCCTGGTGGCTACACACCAAAAAGCGACTCCATGGGTTAAAGCAATTGTTCTGAGGCAGAGGACTGGCTCAGTGATCATGGCTGCACAATGTTTTGATCTCCTGGACTAGTTATTGGCATATAGCAGGTATCAAGAAGTATTTTTGAGTGAATGTCAATTGAAGAAGACCAGTTCAAAGACTCCCTCTAGAAAGGTCTTCCAATTACCAAGACCTAAAATCCTGCTCCCCAACTTTGCACCCCTTTTGTAGCCATCAAGCAATAAAAACAGCTATGCAATATTTCTCCTGTTGGGTTAAACTGCCATTTCAATATTTCAACATTAAATTTCTCATGTCTTCCCCAAATATGGGAATGATGCCAGGGATATTTGTATGTGTGTGCACATGGTGGTGGTGGTGGTGGTGGAAGTGTTAGGTCTAGAAAGTACCGTACTCATCAAACTGGAAGACCAGTTTGCAGGTCACCTTGAGAGTACTATTGGCTTAGACCCAGACTCCCACATCCAGGCTGTCCTTCAGAGCTGAAGCAGGGTGGGTCACGGTGCCACCGTGGGCCTTTTGCCATGGGTCTCTGCTGAGCAACAGAAAGATCCAGTCACAGGTAATGCTATCACTGGCATTACAAGAGACTGAGTGCTGAGCTAGCAGCTACTGACCCAGGGCTCTTTACAGTCCTGTAGGGGAACTGAGGTTGAGTTGAGTTGGCAGGTTAGGGTTTAGTCATTTTAGTTGGCAGAGTTAGAGGCTTGGGAGGAGGGCTTGGTGTAAGGGTTTTTCTTCCGGGTGGGTGACACCACCTCTCAGTTCTGACTGTTATCTTCCTGTTGTCATTGACATTGTAAAGATGCTTCAGAGTAGGAACGTGGTCCCTATGTGCAGCTTTCTACCTGCAGTCACAATGATGATGAAGATGCTTGTCTTCTGGTGTATAACTTTACCTTGTTCTTGTTCCAACAGCAATGGCACTGCCAGACCTGGGATAGGAAACTGGGAGAGGGAGTATAGTGGTTAAGAATATGGATTTTGATGGAGGCCTGTGCAGGTCTCAATCCATCCAGGGCTTGAAGTTGCTATCTGCCTCATAAAGGAAAGTAGGTGGTTTGTCTTTTGGCAAGACAAAGTTGTCTTGTCTGAAAAAGCCTCTTCCATGCTTGGCTTTGGCATCTTCCAGGAATAAGAGGGTCTCCTGTCATGATGGGCAGGAGGTGCTTTTGCTGATTCACAAGATGGGTGGCTGGGGTTCAGGGGAGACACGTGCCAAGCACGCAGCAGCAGTGGGAGGCCTGTGACAGCACCAGGATGTGGCACAGCCACAGGGTCACGGGGAATGGGAAGGTGCTCAGGGTCACCTTGTTGACTATGTTGCTGCTGGCACTCAGCACTGCAGGCATAGCATTGCCACCTCCTGTGCCCTCACATGCCTTGCTGCTGCCATCCTGCCCCAGTGGCCACCCCTTTCCACCCCTCTGATGGCCCAACCCAGGCTCGTCATCACTTTCTCCTTTGCTTTTTTTAAATAGAATTTATCCCCACATAACCTGTATATTTCTTTGTTTATTGTCTGCCTCTCCCCACTAGATTGTAAGCTCCTTGAAAGCGGGAACTTTGTTTTGTTCACTGTGGTAGCCCCAGCACCTAAAACAATGCCTGACATGTAGAAGGTACTCAAAAACACTTATTGAATGAATGAATAAATGTACCAACCAATGGAGAGCTAGAACTGTTGTGAGTTCATCTGGCTAGAGGACAAGACGCTGGAGAATGTGTAATGAAGGTGTCCACATGGGCTCCTATAGCTATGTCTCTCCTACTAGACTAATGGGAAGAGCTGACAATTCCAAGAACCCAAGCCCCCCGGGAGTTACTGTTAACTATCTGTAATTGTAAGGTTGAGGGCCTAGATAGTACAGGATTCATTTAGTTTGGGAATGGTACAAAGGGCAGTCCAATCAATCTTAAAGTTAGCTAGAGTAGTTTTCTGGCTTCTAATCCAAAAACCTTGACTGAATAGGTTCAAGAAATTGAAAGAAAGCCCCTGTGTTTGGGTTTGTGGATAGACAAGGAGAGAGTGATACATAGAAATAGATAAGACCTTCTCTAAAAGTAAGACTAAACAAATGTGTTTAGTATTAAGTGGATGAGGAGTGGAAACCCATGAAAGAATTTAAGCAGGGGAATGATATGGTCAGATTTGTGTTTTGAAATATTGTCTTGCCCAGACAGTGTGGCTCATGGATTGAGCGTCAACCCCTGAATCAAGAGGTCGCTGGTTTAATTCCTGGTCAGGGTACATGCCCAGGTGGCGGGCTTGATCCTCAGTAGGGGGCGTGCAGGAGGCAGCCAATTGACATTTTTATCTCTATATCCCTCTCCCTTCCTCTCTCTCTAAAATCAATATTAATAAAAAAAAGAAAAAAGAAATATTTTCTAGCTGAAGTGTGAATGGATTGGAGGAGGTCAGAGTGAATTATGGAAAAAATAAAAACATTCCAGAGGAAGTAGCATGAACATCAAGGAACACAATAGAGTATTGTAGTTGGGCCAGGGCTTGGCAAAGATCTTTCATTTATCTCTCTATAGTACAGGGAAGAAGGAGTTTGAAGGCTATTGCTGGCACAAGACTGGGAATGAAGAGAGGTGGGAGGTAGGGCAGGATAAGTTAGAAGGGCTTTCTTTTTAATGTTTATAAGAACTTTCAGGAGAGACCACCACAACATCCATGATTTACACAAATAAGAAGAACTGAATTGAAATAAAGTCTAACTTGAACCATCGATGTATAAATGCCAGTACTTGGGATTATAGTGACAATCTCCTAAACTCTTAAAAATTTAGAATCTTGAGAGAGTTAAGCTATGAAATCAACACATAGATGATTAACCAGTTATGGTTATGGAGAAATTAGCCAGCCCTAATAGCAGGAGTTGAAAACAATAATGTGTAAATTATAGATGGAAGCTTTTAAATTATAGGTTATAGTTGATACATTAGCATGTTTACACTATGATGTGGAACTCTACTGGTGTACCAATTATAGATATGACTATCAAGAATTTGAAAAAAAAAGAATTTGAAAAGATTATTAAAAATTTTTAATCAGAATGGCTATCATCAAAATCAACAAACGACAAGTGCTGGCGAGGATGTGAAGAAAAAGGGCCCTAGCTGGTTTGGCTCAGTGGATAGAGCATTGGCCTGCGGACTGAAGGGGCCTGGGTTTGATTCCAGTCAAGGGCGCATGCCCAGGTTATAGGCTCGATTCCCAGTAGAGGGTGTGCAGGAGGCAGCCAATTTATGATTCTCATCATTGATGTCTCTATCTCTCCACTCTCCCTTTCTTTTGGAAATCAATAAAAATATATATTTTTTAAAAAGGAACCCTTGTACATTGCTCGTGGGAAGGCAGACTGGTGCAGCCACTGTGGAAAACAGTATGGAGTTTCCTCAAAAAAACTAAAAATGGAACTCCCATTTGACCCAGTAATCCCACTTCTAGGAATATATCCCAAGAAATCAGAAACACCCATCAGAAAGAAGATATGCACCCCTATGTTCATAGCAGCACAATTTAACATAGCTAAGATTTGGAAACAGCCTAAGTGCCCATCAGCAGATGAGTGGATTAAAAGCCTGTGGCACATCTACGCAATGGAATACTACGTTCCTGTAAAACAGAACTCCTACTATTTGCAAAAGGATGGATGGACCTGGAGAGCATTATGCTAAGTGAAATAAGCCATTCGGAGAAAGATAAACATCACATGATCTCACTCATTTGTGGAATATAATGAACAACATAAATTGATGAACAAAAATAGATCCAGAGACATAGAAGCATCGATCAGATGCTCAAACCTCAGAGGGAAGGCAGGGGAGGGTGGGAGTGAGGGAGCAAGAGATCAACCAATGGACACAGACAATAGGGGGTTGAGGACCTGTGCTGGGGGGCGGGGGGCAAGAGGAGGGGAGCAGGCTGGGAGAGGTCAATGGGGGGAAAAATGACATGTAATACTTTCAGCAATGAAGAATTAAATAAATAAAATGTAAAAAATGAAAAAAAAATTAAATCAGAAATTATATATCTATTTAATCATGAAACCTAATGTCAAAAAGGCAATATTCACAGAAACATGCTCAAATTCCTCATGAAAAATTTAAAACATTTTATTTGAATATTTAGCCTTAATAAAGGTTGTGAGTTTCTCCTTATGAAGGGAGTGTCCAGAGGCGCACGCTGCCGGAAACGGCCACAGGGGTAGCAGCCCTAAGTCTCCCGACTCAGAGGCGCTGGTGGTGGCAGGGGAGGGGCTCTCCGGGGGAGAGAAGCTGGGGAACTCCCAGGAACCACGCTTGGGCCACGCCCCACTGAGGGACCAATAGTGGCGGGCGTTAGGCGAGACACTCAGCCAATCTGATGACAGGCGCTGGTGACGAACATTGTTGCTCGCCAGTTTGTCTGGTGACGTCATCCCACAGCGCCGGAAGTGGCGCGTCAAAGGAGTACCGCGAACTCATCCGTCACAGCTGTTTGAGGTAAGGCAGTTTGGGCCTACCTCCTGTGCTGGCCGTGATGGCGTAGACCTCATGCCGGCTCACTTCTGCTTTTGAGTGACGTGCCTGAATAACGCTCGGCCGGCGTTGCTCCTTCCTCGGGCTCCGGGGCTCTCGGATCCCTCCGGCCCCCTTGGGCCGTGTTTGGCGGCGCTCACGTTCTTCTCCGCCCCACTTGGCGTCCGTTCACCTGTGCCCCTGACACCCGTCCCTAGCTTGGTCGCAACACAAGTAGAGCAACTATTAGAGCGTGGGCACTGCCCAGCCCGTGGGCGGTCAGGTAAGGACATTGTTTCCTTCGGAAACCCTCCCTGAAAGGAGCTTGAGGGCCTTTCACAGCGGTGGGAAGGCAAGGCTGTTCCCAGGCGGACCAGGGATGGTCGTTCCACACAGCGGGGGTCTAATTTCCATTGGGAATAATGTGGCCCAGGTGTGGGGCCTTCTGGGAATTTGATGTATTGGGGATCGTTAGAACACGGGACAGGACTCTCCATGGGGGGAGACAGTGCAGATTGGTGCCTTTTCACGTTAGCTGCACGGTCTGCTGTCGGGTGGTCCTGAGCTCCTGCTTTCATCCTGTTAATAGTACAGACTATTAACATGAGTGATAATGCATACTTTTTGCCAGACACTGATCTTTACATACTAACTCGTTTAGCCCGTGTAGTGTAGAGCGGTTATTAATATTGTTTTACAGCCGAAGAAATAAAGGCTTACGTCAAATAACTGACCTCAAGTCACACAGTGAGGAGGTTGTGGCGCCACGATTTGAACTCCAGCATTTGGACTTTAGAGGCCTGGATGTTGCCCACTATTTATGCTGATTTTGTTCAACTGTTCATCAAGTGCCTGAGCACCTCACTCTGTTGTTATCTACTATTTTATGGAGAAAATTGAGGTCATCAGAGGTGCCCTTCCTCACATTTCTGCTTTTGCTTTCCCATTTACAAAACCATCTAGATTTACACTCATGTTGATCTTAAGTCTCAGAGGATGAGGATGAGCTGTATCCTCTGATCAAAGCAAATCCCTTTACCCGTGTTCCTGATCTTTTATACTCTCACCTATGAGAGCTTGTTTTCATTTGTGCTTTCTGCCCCTGTCCCAGTCATGTATAAACAAGGCCAGGTTTCTCAGGACCCTGGCCATCTCTCATCCCCACGTCCACTATGCAAGCCAGAAAGAAAAAAGTTCTTGGTGATCATCTTCCTTTAGCTGTCATCCAGTGACTCTTCCCCCTTCTTATCCAGACTGTTTTAAAGGGCATTCTAAATTCTGTCTCCATTTTCTCAACTCCCATTCCCTTCTGCAGTCTGCTTTCAGACCTATTATTCCCCTGAAATCTTACCCTAAGGTCACCAGTGATTGTTCCTCAAACCAGATAGTCATTTAAAAATCATCACTGGATTGATTCCCTTGCTGTTTTTGAGACTTGATACCTCTCACTCCCTTTTTTATTTTTATTTTTGTTAATCCTCACCAAGGATATTTTTCCATTGATTTTTTAAAATATATTTTATTGATTTTACAGAGGAAGGGAGAGGGATAGAGAGTTAGAAACATCTATGAGAGAGAAACATCGATCAGCTGCCTCCTGCACACCCCCCATTGGGGATGTACCCACAACCAAGGTACATGCCCTTGACTAGAATCGAACCTGGGGCCCTTCAGTCCGCAGGCCGATGCCATATGCACTCAGCCAAACCAGTCAGGGCTCCATTGATTTTTTTAGAGCGAGTGGAAGAGAGGGGGACAGAGAGAGAGAGAGTGAAACCTTGATGTGAGAGAGACACACTGATTGGTTGCCTCCCACACGAGCCCCTACCAGAGCTGGAGATCA